AAGCGTATTGCAAATTAGTACTGGAGTAGGGTTAGGGGAAGGCATGATTGGAACACTGAATATTGACAATTTACCCTTATATTTTATTCCATACTCTACACCTACCCACACAGACACTCTAATTCAAAAGCATCAAAAAGTAACTCACCATTATGTCATAGTTTGGTTATGGTATGTGTGCGCAACAAAATGCTGATTCAAGGTAATCCTGTGTTTACTTTGCTAATTTGGACTTTTGGGGCATTTCTCCAAAGGCAATCTATGTATAGGTTTTTTTTTTTAATTATTAAGGGAATTGTGAAGTTTAATCATTAAAAAAAATGTATCATGAAAATTGTATTTTCAAGAGATTACTACGCATCCCCATTCTACCCCAACGCCAAAAAAAATTGCAAAAACGAAATCCCAAACAAGAATCCTATTTTAATCACAATGTTATAATGTTGGATAGAAATGGTCTATTAATACCACAGACTCTTAACAACTGTATTCTGTTTATTTAATAATCAAACCATCTTTCCTCTTAACAAAACATATGTGTCATAATATAAACAATACGTTTTCAAATTCCTACCGGGGTAATTTATTTTATTTATAGAGGGACAACAAATGCCCTAAATTGTTTCTATTTTCATTCAATGTTCAATTCTGTCAACTGTGAACCCAATAGATGCAGTCAAGGAACTCTTTAATGGTATGCATCTCTGTATAAACTGACTGTATTACAAAGATTTTCAAGAAGATTATATGTCATGTTCTTCATAAAATCATTGAAAATGGGAAATCGGAAAATCTTTCAAGATACAAAAGTTCAAAATTGTAATTTTTAATACTGTTTGACGGTGAGATACTTTTTTCATATTTCAAAAAAAGTCAGTATTATTGACATAAATCCTAGTATTGTTAAAACATTTGAATAATCAAACATTCAGTCTGATAGTTTCAATCCGTGGCATATGGTGGCCATTTGTTTATTCTATTGCATGCATTAATGAACTCAGGGATTAGGGCAAAAAGTTTAAAATTTAAAATGTTGAAAACACCAATACTTTGCTGTTTTATTTATTACAACAAAACAAACATTTACACTTGAAATTATTGTCTGACTGAGGTGCATTTGACGATGCAGTTTATGCTAATTAGTCTGAAGTGTAAAAAATAATATCAATTAGTTGTTTCCCATAATATCTTGCATACCGGTATATGTTCAGTAATGCCCAGTAGAGCAAAATTTGAATTTGACTCAAACTGCCTCAAATGTGATCACATGCTTTTTAAATCAACTGAATCACTTTAGACAGTTATGTTGACCATTATGTTATCTATGACATCATTAGATACAAGAAGAAGTTAGTATAAATTTTTTTCAGTGAGAACAATTCTTAGCATTCAATACTTACCTGCATTACAATCAGCAAATCAAAAACCAGAATCATAGATGCAAGGTAGGCTCTAGATACTTCGTTAGAAACAAGAAAATCATTATTAATATCATCCCAGTTAACCCAGTCAGTAGTGATGACAAGAACCACTATCAGCGTCATTGAAAACCATACCACCCAGAATAGAATGATACGATTGTAACCACGCTGCCAAAATGAACGTAGTCGTTTCGCCCAATTAGGATATAGTTTATCTTGCAACATCATATCAGTGACCTGAAAAACAAGAACACCAAAAATAGAGTTTCAACGACTCTGGTGACTTAGATAAGATAGGCCAAAATAGAATAGACTATTGACGTTGAT